GTACGAACCCTTCGTACGAACAAAAGTAAGAGAAATTTAGGATATGAATACGAACATGTTCCTGCATGAGGCCTATTGTTTCTGACTAAAAGCATTTCAATTGGGCGGTGTATTTTGTTTATTGTTTTCGTCTCTGACAGAATGGCTTCATCACAGCTTGCATATAGTATCTGCTCAGGACAGAAAGAGGAAGGAAACAGTCAATAACATTTAACACTGAGTTTTAAAATTATTGACAGTTAAAATAATATTCAGTTCACAGTCTGATCATACACACTTGAAATAAAATAATCATGTCACAGAAATGTAATTCTTTTTCTTTTTTTTATAATGAATCACAAACTGATTTAAGCAAACTCACATCAGCATTTATCTGCAGACAAGAACAGATTAATGAAAGCCAGGATAGAATTTGTCTCTAAGAAAGCTTTTTCAGAACAGAACTCAGTTCAGGAGGAATCGTGACCTGTAGGGTCCAGAGGTCATGTTAAAGTGACTCATCCTCATCATGCTACACTACATGTTATATTTTAGACTCAGTATTCATTTAAAAGTAAATCTCTATGTCCATTTGTCAGTACCTTTTACTTGAATTAATTTCCTTTGCATCAAAGTAGTTTCAGTCTAATTTAACTCCTTCAGCTCTTTTATTATTTTTTAATTCTAAAAAGCATTGAGCAGCTATACTCCTACATTTCATACTTCTCCAGTTGATCTAAGGATGTGATCCATTGTCCTCTGGCATTTTCTGGCGCATTTTCACTGCATACGTGGTGATACTATGATGGATGAAACTTGTCTCTACTTCTCAATAGGTCAGATGTGTTTAATAGAATACATACATATATATATATATATATATACTATTTAGCACAAAATCTGAAAAAGTAGTTTAATTGCAAAAATCATACAAATAAAACTACAAACAGGAAAACAATAATGTGAATGCTAGACCAGAAGTAACACTATAACCATATCATGTTTCTTTATGGTAAATGGACTGTACATATATAGCGCCTTTCTATTCTTTCTATCCAACCAGGACACTCAAAACACTTCACACTACAATCTGTGTCCTCATTTACCCATTCACACAGCACTCTATTAGGTCTCTACAAAGCTAACATGTACAATCATCTATAGAGACTAATCAGTTATAATCACATTCATACACTGATGGGACACACATCAGAGGCATTGGGGGTGAAGTGTGTTGCACAATAACACAACAACTGAGACAGCTGGAACAGGGGATTGAACCAACTCCCCTAATCACTCTGCCACCCTATTGTTTTTTTCAAGATCTAAAATCATATCTATTGCTCTTCTTCTGTATGTTAATTTTCTTGTGTTTTCCTCTCTGATATTCAGAAGTATTTAAATGTGAAGGTGCATGCTCATTCTAATAGTTATTTTTAATTAAGCTCCAAACAAGTGCTTTTTGTGATTTTTTTTTTAGGGATTCACCGATATGAAAATTTCAGCCGATATCGTTATCTGATGTAATTATTGCTGTTATGGCCGARAACCAATATTTACTGATATTACACAAACACAAATTATATTATACATAGGCGCACAAACACACTTAGGTCTTTTTTTGATACCGTAAATAAACAACCAGACCTCTGACATGGCTCCCTACTTCGGTTATTCCTGGCTGTGCAGCATTACTTGCGTTCCGTCTCTGCTCTGCTCCGCTGCGCAGGTCACAGCTGTGCGTTTCAAGTCCAGTTTACATTATCTCCGCTCCGCTCCAGTCCGACAGACGTGCAGGAAGCAGATTGCGCGATAAATTCAGTGATAAGTGTGGAAGTCACAGCAAAAAAATAATTAATTCTGTGAAAGACGAACTCCAAACACAGCTGAAAACAAC